CTTCTAACCGCCTTGTGGTAACAGTTGGGGGAAAGCATGAAGTTGATCTTATATTATATTATATTATATAACTATTTTTCTTATAGTACTGGTTATTTTACACGATAAGTGGTTGGTACTGCTCTGAAGCGGTTTGGGGGTTCTTTTATATTTTTATTTCTGATGCAATGATAGTTTTTAACTCACCATAGTGGTTTCTGCAATAGAGCCAAAGCTGTTGATGAAGATGTTGCAGCTGACGTTTACTGGAGGACCTGTAGCCAAACAAAAGGGGATAGCAATGAACAAAAAGATATCAGTAAAACTTGTAACAGTTAAAGTGATGTTAAAGTTCAATGGTTTTTAAGCTGTTTAAAATGCTGATTAAATCACACACAATGGATGCTGCTCCTTAGGGGTGAATGAGAGACATTAGGGGTGAATGAGAGACATTTGAGTCATAGCTGGCTTTACTCTGTACTTATCTATCTATCTATCTATCTATCTATCTATCTATCTATCTATCTATCTATCTATCTATCTATCTTTTGGTTTTGCTTAATGCTTTAATACACAACAAAATTGCAAAAAATAACTTTATAAAGTGAATATTTGATAAGAGTTGAAGTTGTAAGAATGAGCATGGTTTTTGATATGACTGTTTTAGGCACCTGCACTGATTCTCTAAAAAGGGCAGTTTTAGCAATTACCATTGATAATAACATCTGTACCAGCCAAGACTGAGAAGTGTTGGACAGCCATATCTGCCCATGTATTACAGATGAACATTTTATCTGCTTGTCTCGGTAAAGATCTTTACTGTTTTGGAACATCCATGCATATTCAATATGATGTTTACTTTGCATGTCCACAGTGAGAGGCCTGTTCCCTATTCTTCCTAAGATACAGAGATTTTGCATTCTGTTAAAAAATGTCCAATCATTGTAATGAAAGAATTTGTTGTGATTGTGCATGCCTGTTGGGCCTCCAGTTTTGACCCCTACACACTGCACACTATGGGGTTGATTTACTAAATAGGCTGTTCCCTTTGCAAGGAATTTTCCCATGGGTTAGTGAATGTGGGGAAGTGCTGCTTACCTCCATCATCCAATCATGTCCAAGCAGAAATACAGTTTTTATTTTCCTAAGCTAGCCGAAGGATCGGCCGAAGCTACGGCCAGATCCTTCGGCAGCTTTGTGAATAGACCCCATATTCTTTGAACAGACTATTTGTTTTTCTTTTTTTAATGTTTATATTAAAAAGGTATTATAATTAAAAGCTCAACAGAACTTTGGTTTAAATCAGCAAAATACATTTGTGGTGCATTAAAACAAAAAGTGTGCAAAGTCATACAGTTTGATTTCTTTAGAAAGCAGGTATAGTATGTGTATACCCTGCTAGCATGCTATGAAGAAGGACCCTTGCGCTTGAAGTAGAATAAACGAAAAACGACACCAGGCAGATCTTCAAGAAGTAGGTTTATTTCGGCCGGTCGGGAACGCACGCAAATCAGGTGTGTTCAAATAAAATGAGCTTGCAGGCCCCTTTTTTATAATGTTTTGAAAAAAATAATTAGATAAATTACCTTCAATTATCTCCAAAAATCAGATAATAATGACACCTGTATTCACATTTATTTGTACCAAGATCATTAAATGGCTCTTCTTCTCTTGGATAGACTCCCTAATTTCAAGGTTAGGAGACAGCTGTGTTGGTATTGAACCTACTGTTCATTAACTGTTCATTAACCTAATGTCCCTCATATCATGACCAGAGGACACCCGTTCATTAAACCAGGGTCAGAAACGTTGCTAAGACTTTGTCTCTAAACACTTCAACCCATGTTGTACCTGAACTTTAGTTGAACCTTGATCTACAAAATTAAATGTTGTACATGTTGCTTATAATGTAACAAATTATATACCTATCTATCTTTCTATATATATACACTGAGTGGCCAGATTATTATGACCAACAGAAGGGCATTGTCTTTTTTTTTTCTATTCTGACATCGCGTGTCAGAATAAAGAAAAAAAGACACAGCCCTGTTTCTTTCCTTGGCGGCGGGAGGCTCCCAGAGGAGTTTTTTTTTCTTTTTTCTATTACAGTAGCAGAGCCGCCGGACAATAGGAAATTATTGGGTGGAGCTAGCTGTCACTGCTAGCTCCGCACAATCGTTTGCTATTTACTTTTTTTACTTTTTTCTGTTCTGCTCGGTACCTCTGAGGGACCGAGCAGAACAGCCGAGCGGCAGCATTCGGCTATTCACTCACTGCTGTTCGGGATCTTTAAGAATAGCCCGAACAGCAGTGAGTAGCCTGCCGGAGGTTCGGCTCAGCCGATCCAGATGTTGGACCGGCTGAGTCGAACTCCTTCTGCACTTCGGGTCGGCCGAATATGCTGAGCATGTTCGGCCGACCCAAAGCCACACGAAGCAAGCCGATGTACGGCTGAAATTAGCCGTACCAGCCTGAAGTGAATAGCCGAACAGTGTTCGGCTCACTTCACTTCAGATCTGTCATTCACTCGGCTGCCCTCGGCAGCTTCGTGAATAGACCCCTACGTGTATATGTGAATGCAAGACTAAACAGTTTACTTATTCATTATTCTCTACAATACATTGCCAATATGTTTCAAATGTATCTGCTTAAATGTGTTCTCAAAGTTATCAATAAGCGCTGTGCAAACTGTTGGCGCTATATAAATCCTGTATAATAATAATCAAAGTTATACAAAACTATGTAGCTGAAAATGCAGTGCTTGTGAAGCTTGTGTTTTCTGTGAAGGGCACTAAGAACAACTCTTATCTACTGTATGTCATTACACCATAATATGCAAGAATAGTTCAGTGTTAAATATGCATCACTATTATAAGGAGATACTCTACAGGTTCCTAAGATTATGTTGTGTAACTGCTATGTGATGATAATAATAATAATACACATGTTAATTTATGCCAATGTAAAATATATGTGTTAATATCAAAATCCTGCTGCACTCTCTGGGTGGAAGCAGTGGTCTATAAAATACTTGTTTTCACCCTTTTTCCATTCTTTGTTGCATCTCATTGCGGCTGATCTCTTGCTCCTTTGCAGCCACTTCCCATCTACATGCACTCCAGCAATGGCTGCTCCTCAGTAGTAGAGGGGTATTTTTATTTAGAACAAAGACACAAATTGAAGGAGGTTGGGCTACCTCCTGGCAAACCTGCACCCAATTCATCCTTTGCTATAAATATGCTCCAAGGTGGAGGCTCTCATAGATTAAAGTTAGGACCTCACTATACAGAGAGGACTTGACGAGGCAGTGCGGCTTCCACATATTTAGCAAAAATTGTGGAACTAAAACCTCTGTTTTTAACCTTAGTAGTGTACTTTTCTTGTAGGCTGGCTGGTGAGTGTGCTGGGATTTTTTTGTCTTTGTTCTGTGTAAAGCCTTTCCATGTGCACCTTGCTTTAAAGCTAGTTATGAATTGATGAGTGCGTTTGCCATTCGTTTCACTTGGGTTATTATTATTCAGCACCGGTTTCCTTTACCAAACACAAGTAAGCTTGTGCTCACAATTTGTTAAACCATTGCTCATACGTCCTGTCTGCCTTATAGGATTCTTTTTCAAGGCTGTGCTGCAAAGGCAGCTGTAAGTCAGACCAGTGAAGGTCATTTCTCTGTCATCTCAGCAAGGTGAAAACAAATTACATTAGTTGCTAAATTTTGAAAAAATATACGTTTTTCTAATATATCAGCAGCAAAAATATAAAGAATGTATTCCAGCACTGAGTGTTTTATTTTATTACAGAACACTTCATTGTAAAACACACCCTAGATAGGAATCAGATTTATTAACAATGCTCAGACTGAAATATTATCAATGGTCATAATGAAAGAACTTGCGGAGTTACAATCAATGAGAAACCAGCGATGACTAATGAAGGCTCAATTAAAGCCACATAAATAAATATGCAGTCAGATACATTTTGCACTAACAACCTTCATTTTCATAGTCTTACCTCAACTCTCCTGTTACAGTAGCAAGTCTATATGTGTCTGTATAGTCCAATAGGCACCAAAGTTAATGTGGCATTAAACTCAGGAGTTAAATATGCATTCAATGAACCTAACTATTAAGAAAAATTTATCTTATTTGTGTATCACTCGGCTGTAGATCCTCAAATCATCTCTGAATTGTTGCTGACACTGTCCTTCCTTTTGAAGGGTGGCTACTTTTGTTCCCCATGGTCACTGTGTGTGTTGTAAAGTAGCCACAGCTCCACGCTCGTTCCCGTGATGGACTACAATTTCATGTTTAGTTGCTAATTTGTATTGAGATTGTAGTCCATCACGGGAGTGAGCTTGGAGCGCTGGCTACTTTACAACACACAGGGACCATGGGGAACAAAAGTAGCCCCCCTCCAGAAGGACAAACAGGGTCAGCACCAATTCAGAGATGATTAGAGGATCTACCGCCGAGTAATACACAAATAAGGTAAATTTTTATTAATAGTTAAGGTACTTGAATGTATTTTTAAGATTTAACTCCTGGGTTTAGTGTCACTTTAAACCCAGTGCACTCAGTAATGTAAAATATCTAGTTGACATGGTCCCTTTTCTTCTTAGCAATATTAGTCTGTGTGAGGACACTTTTGCTAAAGGGTGTGACTGTTACTCAGCTCTGCCAGCATAGAGAACTGCAGTACACACAGGGAGTAGCATTTTTACTTAGAGAAAAAGGCATTTGAAAGCATTCTGGGTCAAAATCATAGCATGCAGGGTTACAGGCCTATAAAAAATGGGCCCGCCATTGATGTGCCACAAATGAAAAGGTTTTGTTTGCCAGTTGACAAAAGATGCATAATGATTAACAATTGTTAAATAAAGTTAATCTGTCAAGAGAGAAACAAGAAAGCTGCAACTGCTGAGTTCTCCCTCTGAAAATGCTCATCCTCAAACTGACTCTCTGGCTGCAATACTTACAATTACTAACCCAAAAAAGGTATGCAGATAAGGACTTCTTTTATTTTTAAATCTGCAGCTTTAATTAAAATAGCACATGATGATCCTGCCATGAAGGTTCTTGTTCAGGTGCTTCATGTTTTGGGGAGACACTGCTGTATCAGCAATGCTAAGTCTGATGAAGGGACCCAGCGCGGCCCCACAAGTGCTTGTTTTTGTAACAAGATTTCTCAATAAATGAACACTTGGTGATCTCAAAGGTTTTCAGTGTGCTGGTGACATCTTCATATGGTTACTGTTCTGTCCCTGTCCCCCAATTGTTCTCCTGGTTTGTCACCCTATCACAGAAGTCTCTGATGGAGATTACGAATGGCTATTCCAGCATTCATTATACAGGCACAGTTCACTTGTGTCACCATTAGATAACCTTCCCTGACAAATGCCATGAAGGTCCTTGTTTAGGAAAATCATGTTATTGAGTGACAATGCTCTGTTCAGCCTCCCAGTTTTTCTTCTGTCTTCCAACCCTATCACACAATGGAAGATACAAGTGGCTCTCTGAACACTTATAATACAGGCCCGATACACTGTTTTCACCATCAGGAAACCCACCTTAAGAAATGCCGTGCAGCCATTGCTGGTTTACATTTAGACAAAAAGTAACTGCAAAGAGGCTGAAGGAGATGAGCAGCACTGAGATGCAGCAAAGGATCAAAAAGGTATTTTATTACTAAAAACAAAGACAATTGTGATACATTCTACTTGATCAAACTGAATGTTATTCAGTAAAGGTTTATCTACTTTAACCATTGACAACAAGTGATTTCCCATTATGGGAATGATAGTAGTTTATGTACAGTTATGTGATAAGGGAAGTACACCCCATGGAAATTGTTGACTTTTTTAAACATATTTGAACAGGCAAGCTTTGGATCTTGATTCAGATAGTGCCTACAGAAAAAAGGTGATATGCTAAAACAAATGATACATAAAATTGACACATGTATTAATTTTCATTATGTAAGTCAACAAAAATGTAGATTTGTCACATGGAAGAAGTGAGTAAACCCCTACATTCACCACCATTTCAAATCCATTAATTGTGAATCTGCTGTCCCAAATTAGATGCCAATGTTTAAACCTGCTTAGCGTGTGGAGGTGGAACCTGTCTTATTTAAACCTCAGACTTCTAGGGTCTGGTGTTCTCTTTGCTATTCAAATGTGTGGTGTCATCATGCCATCAATAGAACTCTCTAATGCTCTCGGAAAGAAAGTTGTGGATGTCTATGAGTCTGGGAACATAATCTACAAGTGTCGTAGATTTCAAACAACTGCTAATATGTCCAGGGCCGGCCAACCCAGCAAATCTAACTTAAGAACTGATTGTTTTATGCTAAAAAAAAGTCTCAAAGAACCCAAAAGACCAGACCTTCTGGAACTATGTGTTGAAGAATAATCAGTCAAACATAGTACTTTTTCAAGGTACAGAATTACATCTATTGATCTTTTTGTTGAATAAATGATTCGAGGGGCATTTTTTTTCTCTTATTCTTATTCAAGGATATCACCAACATTTGTTATAACATTTGTCACCAACTGTTTGAATAAAGATATAATGTCTGCTTGTTCAAATATGTAAAAAAAAGTGTACAATTTCCAATGGGGTATTTTTAAATGATTAATTCCCACACTCCTAGAAGCGTACACAGCCATTCATTACCTTTGAAGTTAGGGCGAATTCGAGCATCATATCCGGAAATCTTCCCCATCAGCTTGTCTAAGAAATCGGAGGGTGACATGAGCTTGGGACTGGAACGGACGGAAGCCCCCACTTCTTTGGAAGCAGCAAGGCTGTAACAAAAAAAAATAGAAAAAATAAATTCACGATGCCAGAAAAATATTTCATACAATGTAGTTAAATGACAGAAGGAGGATGCTTGGTGACACAGTACACTGGTTCCATCTTAATCTTGTACATTATCTCCATGGATTTTTTATGTTGTCCATATGTTTGTGTGGGCTTTCTCACACAAGGCAACAGCATACGGCCAGGTCAGGGCTCACACACATGAGCATTTGCTACACATGTTTATTCTCTAGAAGTCAGTAAACAATCAAATGTAACATTTCACATTTCAAGTAGTAAAGTAAGACAGAAGTTACTTTAAATTGGGGGGGGGGGGGTCTAGTTCCACTTTAAAGAGGAACTTAACCCATATCTTTGCAATGACAACAAATATACCTTTAGAAATGTTTAGTAATGACAATCTACACGCAGATACTTATCGATAATTGCAGACTTTTTATTCTTTGCATACTTTTACAGGGTTATTCACAAAAGGGTGAAGAGTTTGGAGAATGCAGGAGAAGTGAACAATCTAGGACAGCATAACTGATTTGGAAATATTTTTCAATTCAGCTCACTTTCCAGTTCAGCTATGTTGTCCTAGATTGTTTACTTCTCCTGCCTTCTCCAAACTCTTCACCCTTTTGCAAATAAGCCTGTTTTTTTTTTTCTTCCCCGTTTTTCTCATAGTGGCCATTTTTACTAAGGGCAGATTAATCCATCTCCCTTTACTTCTTGGGACTCTGGCACATGTGACTAGGACATGTGACCATGCACATCATCTCAAGGATGAAAATGTCTTTCCCTGAGATCTCGGGAGATTACAGATTAGATTTCCCAGCAATGTACTGCTGATGTAACCTCCCCAGGATACAATGCTTGGGCACTATTACATCACTAATGCCCAAGAGGACCAGGAAGTGGAAAAACAATAAATGTAAGTAAAAGAAAAATATGTTTATTTAACCTCCCTGGCGGTATTCCCGAGTCTGGCTCGGGGTTAATTTTCTGTACCATAAGCGGTAACCCCGAGCAAGACTCGGGAATATAGCGTCGCATCTCTTACCTTGTCCGCGATCCCCGCTGTGTCCCCCGGCCGATGCCGGCATCCGTCTACCGGGTTCCGTCCCTTGCGAGCGTCCGCGTCGCAGGGGGGTTGAACCGGTTGGAAGTTTAAAAGTTTAAAAAAAAAAACGAAAAGCAGATAGACCAAAAAAGGAAAGAAAAAAAAATAATAATCATACCACCAGGGAGGTTAACTAATGAATGTAAGACGGTTTCATATGCATGTTGAGGTGATTTTTAGTGAAAGGGGGTAAAGGTCCGCTTTAGGAAATGCTTTGCAGTCTGGGATCCTGGGGCTGCTAATGGCTGCAAAAAAAATCAGTAGACCAGCAGCAGTGAGATGCAACATAGGATTAAAAAAAACCTAAAAATTGTATTTTTTTTTTGTAAATCCAATTGTATATGATACACAATGCTTTAGCAAACTAAATGTCATTTATTTAGAGGTTCACATCTACTTTAAAGTAAATATTTTACAAAAATGCGTTAATGCTAAAAGATGTTTCTTGGTACCATTAGTAAATATATATTTATGCTGGGATAGCCAACATTTGTTCTGGATCTTGTTCACAAGGCATAAATTACCCAACCCTCCTTTTATAGATGAGAATTGATCTTCTTAGTGTGATTGGCACTCTGCTGTACACATACAGTATTTGAAGCCTGTAGAGAGTCTACAAAAGTGAATATTTCCTTCAGAAGACTCCTACGTCGTTTGCTGAGTATAAACGACCAACCACCTTGCCCAACTGGAGCCTTCAACTCATATTTTAGCTTCACTGCCCAGCATGACACATTATCATTCACATACAGCAACTTATTAAGGAAACTTGAGGGAAAATGACTATGGCACTTATCTAGCTCATTATTCTGCACTATTATTAGAGATAAGGGACATGAATGTATAAAGAGATGAGCTGCCACAAGGAACAATAGTAAAAGCGAACATTTCATATAGCATTTATTGGCCAAAGTGAAGCCTGTGTTATTTATAGTATTCGGTTCACTGAACTCTGTCTATTACAGGTCTGAAAATTCAACATTAAAACTCAATCTGTGCGAGATGCATGACTGATAACGCTACTCGCTCTTATATTGCTGCACCTAGGAAGTTAAATATTGGTAGGATTCATATTTGACGGTCTGCTCATTGCTGCCTGTGAGGATGTAACTTATGACTGTTCCCTGTGGTGAAGCAGTAGAGATTTATTAGAACATTGGACAATGTTTGTCAGACTGTGATCCAGATTTCTTGCCCCCAGACTGTGAATGTTCATATGTCATTTACACTTGGATTGGGAATGTTAGTATGTCTGTAGGAAGGGACATAACTACAGATCATTGGGGTCTCATAGCAAAATTTGGATGGGGCCCCATCACATCTCCCTGTAACACCTGGCAACTGGGACAATATGATCATTCATTAGTCCTAAAGAACAACTGCAGGAAAACATTGTATTAACCTTTGCAGTGGTGCTACCCCCGTACTGCAAGGGTTAATTGATTGTTTTGGTCTAAGGAGGAAAAATAACAAAACTGTACTCACCTGAACCTCAGAGCTGGTCAGCTGTGACAGCATTCCCCCTGATTTACGCTTCGGCAATGGTATTCCCCTCGGCATCCTCATGTCCTACACACTGATGACTCATAGCCATTAGACTGTTGTGGCAGAGGGGAAGCAAGGCTAGAAGGACTGGCCTAAGAGCAGGGCAGTTCAAAGGATTGGGTGAGTATAACTGTTTAACCCTCAAAGTGCAGGAGTAGAACCGCTGCAAGGGTTAATAAAAATTTACCCAGGGTTATGCTTTACCATACCGTTTGCCTAAATCAAGGACAGGTGGCAGGAGGGCTGTCATCATTTGCTAGTACAGTACTCGGGACCAGTGTGCTGGATAGAAGTTGCCAGGAAAGAGGAAGAAGGCACAATGTCTAACTTTTAACCTTAATTTTTCTGCTTTTAGCCCAAATTGTTCAGCTTATTGTTTTTACTTCTTTCATCTCACCAGCTCACCATTTTATATTCAACATCAAGGGATCTTTTTAGGGTAATACAGGGCCTTAGTGCACATTTCGATCTCTCCCACCTCTTCCACCCCAACAGAAAGCAGGTACTGAAAAAGGTGGTTTAGTATTCAGTAAAAAGACATCACAAAGAAAACTAATAATAAACATAATTATCAAATAACCATAACTATATTTTATATTATTACATAATTGTCAGTGCTAATTTGTAGTGATCCCTGCACACAGTTACTCTATCACCTTAATGCAAACATCTTTTAAGAAATTAAAACAGCACATAAAATTGCTTTACATGCCATTTTGTAATTTATTGATATTAAATTGACCTTTTCATTTTAATCTGCTGCTGCTTTTATAAAATTGTAAAAAATAAAAAATTCAGTGCAATATCGCCATGTGGAGGCATTCAGGCATCTGGAATTTATTTTTTGGCTAGATTCCCCTAAAGGCTTGTCTACTAAAGGGATGCAGACACTGAAGCTTTCCTTATTGGAACACTGAGATTTGCTCAAATGGTTGTAATAAAGGCTGGCCCTCCCATTCGGGCTCAGTCTGGAAAGGACAGGGTAAAACAAACATCTATTTCTTAAGAGCCCATTCACATCAGGGCGGTTGCGGATAAGTGCGGTTACCGCACTGATTTCAAAAGGGAGGTCAGCGCTGAAACGTAATGAAAAATGCCCAAAACCGCGCTGATCAGTGCCGTTTAATTGAAAGCTGTATGGAAACCGCACTGATCAGCACGGCAAAAATAGTGCAGGAAGCAGTTCGGACGGGGGGCAGTTCGGATCGCGCTGAGCAGTCGCATGAAGATCCCCATAGCAATGTATTGGATTGTTCATGTTGGCAGATCTGCGGGGCCTAAGAATAGAAAAAGAGATAAATCTGCAAAATTTTTAAAAATACAAGGTACAGTACATAGATCACCCAGAGGGGACTGCTTTTTTTTCTCTCAAAAAAGGTGGATTTAGACTTTAAATTGTGACTTATTTTCAGAAATACGAACCTTGTCAGTCTTGTCAGTTTGAAGCTGAAGAGAGACACTTGGATTTTTACAGCCTCAAGAAAGCTGTGATAGGCATAGAGGGTTAATATTAGAGTGCTGACCAGGCAGGCTGCACCAGAAGATTTATGGGCCATAAATCTACTCCCAGACAATTAAAATGTCCAGCAGCCTTTGCTGCTGTACATAAAAATAAGGGGGAACTGTTAGTGGCAATGATCCTAAAGACTCCTCCAGTGCATCTGTAGTTAGATTTTGTGGACTGGAAACTTCAAAGCAGGTTCTGGTAAAATGCTCTTTAATCCTAAAGATACAGCACTCAATCTGTGTTATTTTTACTTACACTTAAATTGCCTTTTATGTTGTATTTCCCCTGACAGTTTTCTAGCTGAGGCCCCCCTCCCACAATTGGGCCTGATAGCAGCTGCACGGACTGCTATGGTATAGTTACATTACTGTCTGTAGCTTTTCCCGGATGCCCTAGGCCAGGCCTGCTCAAGAGTAAGAACTATTACGGCACCTTTACTGCTCTTCTCCTGTTACAAGGAAATAACATGGAACTTTGCCTGAAGCAAATATAAATACTTGTGCAAACATCACTAATGAGAACGACCCGTTCTCCATGTGCATGATCAGTTACTGATCATGCACACGTGGCTGGTAGCTGTCTATTGTCTGTAGGAACATCAGTGGAAAACAGTGCTGAGACATTATGCAGGCTGCCATTGCTTATATCCCTTTCTAAAAATGCTAGTTGCTTGTCTGTCAATGGCTTGAATACATTTCTGTGTCACCTTCTGATCTGCATGCTTGTTCGAGATCAGTGAGCCAAAAGGTAAAGAAGTCAGCTAGACAGCCAGTCAACTATCATATTCAGAATGAGGACAGCACTGACAGTCCCCATATAGGTTTTTT